TATATATATATGTCTCTGTAGAGATTATTTCCGTACCCCTCTTCTATCAATTTATCTAACTTAATTAAAAAATAATAGTTGATATTTATTTTAATTCTATTCAAAAATATTTTATTCTTTCTCCTTCTTTTCCTCTCTCCTTCTTTAAACAAATCAATGAAATGGTACGTTATTATTTGAAAATGTTGTTTAGATTAAGAAATATAAGCCGTTAATAAAGACGATATAAGGATTAATCAATAATTTATCATAGATAAAAAATTTGATATTTATTAAATTTTAAATTAAAAACACGATTTAATTTTATATAAACTTTATTGTTTCTACTTAATTTTGTCAAACTATTAAGCAGGAAGATGTTATTATCTAGAGAAAAACTTTTTAATGAATGTGAATTAATTATATACGTAGAAGGGAAAAATATTTATTCTATATTTTATGTAAATATTATTTAATAAATATTAAAAATGTGCAATACACACAAAATAACGAAATTGTTCAATTGCCATAAATGGCATTCGTAATTTTCTAACTGCGCATTGGGAAGTTATGTAAAGTAAGCGGTAGTACTTGAAAGAGTGAAGTCACACATGTGGTATTCTCTTCGACACGGCATATTTTTAGACGAGTCTGTTGATCGTTAATCATCATGTACTACTTATTATTTACGTATTTGGACAGTATAACGGTGAAATAATTTATATCCGTCATATTACTTGCTCAACAAATATGTTAACATTGCATTTAGATCAGTGTATAGGTATACATATGTATTAATAATTATTAATATTAACTGCTAATATTAGTAATTAGTAATAAATTTTAACTTGTTATTCAATTTTGCTCTTGTTCTTTCTCTTTCTGTTTTTTTCTTTATGTCGCAATGTATGTCATGAAATTTGGATTTGATATTGTATATTTATGAATGTGAATTTTTCACGACTAATTATAAACGTTATGGAAAGAAAAATATTTATGCCAAATTGATAATAATTGATTATATTTTTAATGCTACATTTTTTAACTACAATGTAATATACGCAACATTTTTGACTTTATATTTATGTAAAATTTGCAAATAGTTAAGATATGTATATATCATATTTTTTTATAGAAAAAGCAAGTTATTATATTTATAAGTGCACAGAATCTTTGCAAACTATTTATATCGATCGACATCTACAAACCAACAAAATTGATTACGTCAGAGATACAATCTTTGTCACCATAAAATAACAATACAATATGCGATGTAATCTATCTATAGCGTGTTTGATTATGAGAAATAATTATCATTTCGTAGACTGTGTAAACTAGTTTCATAATTCGTGGGAAGCATCCACGCAATTGCTCCATAAACAACTGCAGAGATTTTTCTCGTAAAGAATAAGTATAGTCATTAAGTATGTTGACGTGCAATCCATGACATAATACGCGTAATTCGCGAATGTTATCATCTCGGATATTATTGCATATTATATAGGTGCATATATATATTGCATATATATATATATATTGCATATATATATGTATATATATATTAATATGTTAATAATATATATTTATGTAATTCTACACATAGTTTTTTATAGAAAAGCACAGATAATATAATATTAATATTTTAAATTATAAAGTACCAATGGATTAAACAGTTTCTACATCATTAAAGACTCCGTGACTAATCATATTTATTGTTGGCTTACACAAACATACTTCTTTCATTCCCCATGAAGGAGATTCTTTCATCACAGCTGTTGGATATATACTATAAAGGTAACTGAATAAAGGTAACTGAACGTTTTCGCGGATAACAATCCGCCATGGCTAATCTTTGTAATTATTCCCGTGGAAAAAGTTCCAAAAAGGATTTACATCAGTTGTTAAAAGAAATATTAGTGAGATTTGAAACTGCATAAATTGCTGTTAAAACGTAATAATGGGTATCAGTGGCAAGAGAAATTCGCATAATCTCTTGATCACTCTCGTGAGGGTCGCTCAATCTCGTGAGAGCTCTCCCCGGAATGAGGATTGTTTTTACGATTATGTACACCGCACTACTGTGCATAATCATAAACCGCTCGCAGTAGTCCGGATGAAAGCCGATGCGAGAGGCGCGCTTTAGCTATGACGATCCACTAATTAGAGAGATAAATTTTCGAGTAATAACATCGAAATAAAATCATGTATGTTAGCGAATGCATCGCAATTCTGATTACGAAATTGCTGGCTCAGCGGCTTCTAAATACAAATTATTCATGTAATTTGATCTCTCGCTCATCACACATTTTATACAAATTACTGATATTACTAATCATTTATGGATATATAATATCAATATTAAAACAAAATCTTCTTTATATTATATTTTTTAATATTTTTATCTCGACTTTAAAAATAATAAATTAATATTATACAAACTTTGATTATTAGGTATAACCATGTAAAATTTTGATTGCTATGAAATTTTAATTAATATCTGATTTAATCGTTTGTACAACTTTTAATCAATTATTATGATTATATTTAAAAATCTCTTTAAGTTATTAATTTATTATATTTTAAAATAATATAATTAGTACACACAGTAAAGAGAGAAACATATGCATTAAAAATAAACTTACGATATAAAAGAGTTGAAAATCAAAACGATAATGTGTAAAACTACGAGAAAATTTCTTATTTAGTATATTAACAATAAGGTAAATTATATAGTTAACTTGATCTAATTGCTTTACGTCACGATTTAGTGTATGGAAGCGCGATTTTAATTACAGCATTTCTTTATATTCAGAGCAAATGCGGTTATAAAGCGGCCATGAAGGATGGTCGCGTTGAAAACTGCAAAATGACGTTATTCTACGAGGCATTAATGACTGTGAATTGCGAAACGTGTTTCTCATTCCATTCAGGTAATCTATGGTTGTTACCTCCCGCGAAGCTCTCGACAAAATTGTGGTCTGCAATGACCTACATATACTACTCGATCGATTCATTTTTTTTCAACCATGCTCAGTTTACAGATTATGGGTTCTTCATGAATCATAAAATGTATTGAATAATATATACGTGAAACATGTGTGATGATAAAATAAAGATGAGAGATAAAGTGAGATATGATTTATACGCACTTGTGCAGAGGGATTTTGCATCAATATTTATAACAATATATACAATACTTATTAAAACTGTTTTGTTTTTGTTTCACAAAATCACAATGAGAATGTGCAATCTTGTTAACTGAATTTTGGTCACGCCTATCCTCCTTTAATAGTACACTATTGTCTGCCAATGCTACACAGTGACATAAAATATTTGTCCCCTACGAGTTCTGCATGTTAATCGAACAAACGTGTTTGCATGCGGAATATCGACATACGAAAACCATAAAGAGAAACCTAGTTAATTTTGGGATAAGTAATACGTGAAGGAATTTAATCAAATTAATTTAATCGTATTAATCTTCTTAAACCACTATTAAAAGAGAGATTTGCATTAATAATATATTTATAATATATAGAAGATTCTGTATATATTACAACATAGTTTCATTCAAATATAATTTAATTATATATTATTATAAATTTTCTTGCATTTTAATTTTAAAGTAAAATAGACGATCATGTTAAACAAATATATAATATCCATAAAATATTACAAATTAGCTTAATAGTTTTCTCGAAAACTATTAAGAATAGCAAAATAACATGTTTTCTGTTATGTTTTAAATTTTATATTTATGTTAGTGTTCTTTTAAAGAATAAATAAGATATCGCTAGCAAATTTTTCAAAAGACAGAAAGACAACTTCTTTTTTTTTTTAATAAAACCGTGTTTTTTTTATAAATCATTATTTTTGTCATTCTGCACAATTCTGCATAAAAAAATTATAATAAAATCTTCAAAAAATAAATATTATACGAAGAAGAGATATTTATGATATTATCTAGAAATTCCAAAAGAAAATGACAAATTTTTAAAAAGATTTTTAATTTATTACGCGGATTGATAATTTACTTAATATTACAAGTATTCAAATTTCGAGAAAAATTGAGAAAGTGCTATTTACCTTGTGTATGTCGTTAAAATGCTGTTCTCTTCAAATCATGCTCTCTTCTGAAAATATTCTGTTTCTTTGAATTTCGCGCGTAGTAAGTCACGTGTCAGTCACGTGTATTAAGCCACGTGTCATGTTTAGTGTTTCGTGGCAATATCGTACGTGGCGTTGTATGCAAGCTCGTCTCGTGCCTCATGCGTAACGGGTAGCGTAGGTCTCATTCATTTCCTGTGGGCATCTCAACGAGAGAGCATGAATTGGCTCCCGACAAGTAAGTATCTCTCTCTTTTTACCAAACGGAGTATCTCGAAGAATTTTCATAAGATCATGAATATATTTGTGAGCGCCGCGATAAATTCTTTTTTTATTGTTTTAATTAGTTACTTCGGCAGTATATATTCGGAAAACAAATGAGCGAATCAATTGAAAATGGTACATCGAAGTTGGAGCACGTGGTCAAGCGTCTTACTTCGGAAGAAATCGATAGGATAAAAGCGCAAGATTCCCGTTTGGTGTCCGAATTTCGTGCAGATCAACTTGAAAGGGATGCAAAGAAGCATTGGGATTTATTTTACAAGCGTAACGATACTAGATTTTTCAAAGATAGACATTGGACCACGCGAGAGTTTGATGAGTTGCTGGGTTTGGGTGGCAAAGAGAATCAAAATGTCCTCCTCGAAGTGGGCTGCGGTGTCGGGAATTTTGTTTATCCGTTGATAGAGGATAGATTGAAGTTTCGGAGAATATTCGCTTGCGATTTATCCACAAGAGCAATCGAATTATTTAAGGTACATTGAATAGGCCATTGTTGGAAATTAGCGGGAATATTATTGCATTAAATTAGTATGTGTGTGCTAATATTTGTTCTATTATAGAATCATACATTGTTTGATCCAGCTACAATGAAAGCTTTTCAAACAGATATTACATTAGAGAATTGTTTTTCTGAAATTGATTGTCCAGTTGATGTTACAACTCTCATCTTTGTATTATCAGCTATTCATCCTGATAAATTTCACAAGTACGATAAAAAATGCATTAATAATAAAATTATTGTAAGGATCTAATATTGTTAAACGTGCAATTGTATTAATTGCTTGCATTCTTTTGCATTTATTAGAGTTGCTCAAAATATATACAATGCTCTTGATATTGGGGGAATATTACTTTTCCGAGATTACGGATTATACGATATGGCACAATTACGTTTTAAACCTGGACATAAGATCAGTGAGAATCTTTATATGCGGCAAGATGGAACCAGGTAAAATTTTTTATATCATAAAATAAAAAAATTTTTGGGATTTTATTTTACTATATATAATATATAGATTTCTATTTCGTCAAATTAATACATATTAATGACGATATGTTCTTTGGATTTCAGGAGTTATTATTTCTCTGCAGAACAAGTAGCAAATTTATTTGTATCTGCTGGTTTTCAAACATTGAGTTGTAGTTATGTACAGAGACGTACAGTGAATTTAAAGGAAAACATTAATGTTCCGAGAATTTTTGTGCAGGCAAAATTCAAAAAATCTTGAATATATAAGGATGAAATGGTAAGTCTATCTTGATTAACAATTTTGGTAGCTTTAGCTAAATAAACTTCTCAATGATTATATTTTGAAATGTAAAAAAAATTTTATTGTATATTCTAAAGTATTAATAATATATTTATTATACTTGTTATTGATATTTAAATGATGATTAATGATTTATCTGATTTAATGATCGACATTCCTGCAGTACTGATTCTTCTGTTAATAGAGTTCTATTATATATAATTTTTTATTCAAATTTATTTTAATTTTTTAATTTTTTTTGCAGATAATACAATAAATTCAGTAACAATATATTTATGGCAAGCTGTATAAGGCTGTTGAAATGGAGATAATTAAAAGCTTACATGGTTTTTATAAATGGTTATGGCTATTAAATTTTTTATAATATTATTTGACGAAAAATCTGAATTGCCAAACAAGTGTGAATTACGAGTTACAAAAGAAAGTTGATATAACAGAGTCAACATCTAATGTAAAAGTATGTACTTGTGAAAATTTTTAATTACTTTATATATTAATTCATTTTATTCGATATACAATGATGACTAGCATAGTTCAACTGATAAAACTTTGACGACAACATAATATTATAGTCTTTCGTCCCTAACTGACATTTCTAAAATGCATATATTATATTTTGAATCTATCAACGCTTCAAATAATTTAAAGGCAATATTGTTTTATGTTTTAGGAACATCCCAAAACATCAAGTTAAAGTCATGTTAAAAACTGTAAATTTACGACATCTAATGTAAAGGTATATATTTAAATTTTTATTACTATATGTATTAACACATTTTATATGATACATAATGATGACTAGCATAGTTCAACTGATACAACTCTGACGACAACTTAATATTATAGTCTTTCGTCCCTAACTGACATTTCTAAAATGCATATATTATATTTTGAATCTATCAACGCTTCAAATAATTTAAAGGCAATATTGTTTTATGTTTTAGGGACATCTCAAAACATCAAATTAAAGTTATGTTAAAAACTGTAAATTTACGACATCTAATGTAAAGGTATATATTTGAATTTTTATTGCTATATGTATTAACATATTTTATATGATACATAATGATGACTAGCATAGTTCAACTGATACAACTCTGACGACAACTTAATATTATAGTCTTTCGTCCCTAACTGATATTTTTTACATACATATATTATATTTTGAATTTATTGGTCTTCTAAATAATTTAAAGACAATATTATTTTATATTCTAGATATTCAAAACAGCAAATTGAAGCCATATCAAATATTGTAAGTTTATAGAATGTTTTAGATAATATATATTTATTATTTTTCTAAATTTAATATATTTCAATGATGTATAATCAACAATTGATAAATCATGATATAATTACATATTTCGTCACTACCACTGAAGAAGAAATAGCAATTAATATATATGCTTAAAATAATTAAATGATTACAAAAAATCTATATTACTATATATATATATATATTATAGGAAGAACTGTGATTGCGTATGTGTGTGTAGATTCCATATACAGTACAATATTCATATAACCAAAATGATATGGTGAGTTTAAAAAGAAGTTTGTAAAAAAAAAAATCGACATTTTTTATTTTTTTATATATATAAACATATTTCATGATGATTCAACCATCTTTCGCATGAATCGTGATTATTATATTAGCTCTATCTGACACATAATTTTATTATAAATATATTTTTACAGAACTTATAACATTATAGATTATAACTTTTTTTTATTGTTGGTAGGTTTATATTGGAATCTAAAAATAAATATAGAAATTATCTATACATCATCTATACACACATTGTACATGGTAAGTTTAATGTTAATATTAATATTGTACATCATTTATGTAAAAATACTTAATGATGAATTCTCACCATCTTTCGTATGAACTTCCTGATTTTTATTAGTTCTATCTGATATTTAACCCGTTATCAATTTATTATATTTACCGATTTCATAGCATTATAAATCATAAATTATTATATTGTTGGCAGATATGATATTTCGAGTTTTCCGCGTTTCTATCATTAAGTGCAAATGTCGCATAGAAATACTAGATGAAACGATTGAGGGCACGCGAAGAGTAGGGAGAGAACGAGCGGAAGCTGCAAGGCAACAAGAAAATCAATTTTGTGCAATGCAAGTTGAATAAATAATTTACATTGATTCAAGCGCATCTCTCTTTTCATTCCAACTATCTTTTATACATGGATATTGTGGCTATATCGAAGTCTTTTATTATTTAAAATATTAAAGTGTTTTTGTCTTAATCTTATGAATAAAATATGAATATAACTTTGTTATATATTATCTTCATTTTTTCTGATTCTTCAACCTTTATATTGTCCGTATCCTATTCCTCATTCCCTTCATTTATAACAAGATTATTTGATTGTGTTTAAAAATTTTTAATATTGTTTATAAATAATTAATTCTATAAAAAGTTTATTAAAATCTTGATCACCAAACTTAAATTTTTCAACTCTTGTGAATTATGTGCCGTTGTATGTATTTTTAAAATGATCATTTCTGTACGAGTCGCATTCAAAAAATATACAGAACATTTACTTTTCAATATGACAGTCACGGTAGCTATGATAAAATCGATAAATCATTTCATATACGATATTTAATATTTTTTTAGTAATACGTCAAAACCGCATATTTATTATTGCTTTTTAAATTATCACTAAAAAAATTGTGCATTTAATTTGCAGTAGCCTTTTCTAGAAGTATATTATAATGAAGCACATATGTGTGCTCTCTAGCGGTATATATTCAATTTAATTAATTCTGACAGTAATTAATAAATAAATTTTATTTTTATTTTTTATGGGTTTGGGTAAATCAACTAAATATAATTATAAAATTTGCATGAAAGTTGATATTAATTAATATATCTTAGTAGCCAACAGGCAATAAAAAACTGATTATTAACATCAGTTACATTAACTTTTACTGTATAAATTGAGATGTGATATCGTGCAGAAAATTTTATATTGTTTTGTCATACACACACACACACACACACACATAAATTTAAATAAATATTATTAACTAGGTTTAAATTTAGTATTGTCGAATATAACAAGATGTTTTTTTTATTATGCTTAGATAAGAAGTTTGTGTAAAATATATATTATATATACATTATATATTATATTATTCTTTGAAAATATATCAGAACTATGAAAATCTTGTGAATTCACTATGTTTGTGAAACTAGTTTGTCTTAAAATTAAAAATGATTTTTTTTTTAAGAAGATTACAAGCCATTAAAATTATTTAAATAACGTATCGGATCAATAATATTTTATAAGAAACTTCTTTTTTACTTAGAAGTAAAATAACTAACAGCATGCTAAATTTGCGTGTGTTATTTTTTTAAATTTTTATAAAATATATATAATTAAATATAATATAATTAAATATCAAGAGGGATTGCGCACATGTGCATATACGGATGTGTGTGTTGCAGAAATGTATCGATTAATCCGTTAAGAAAATACAGCTAAAATTCACATGTTTAATAATACATTAAATTAATGTAATTTTATTTTATATTTATATTCATACATACATTTGATTCTCGTTTAATCTCGTTTAACTTTGGTTCTCTATTGGCAATATATGTAACTTGCTAAATGTAATTAATTGTATCTGACACATAAATTAATTACCATAGCATATTATACTACGTTCATTTATATAAGTACCATGACATTATTAATAATCCGTTAATAAAATTGATTCAGAAAGCGTGTGTTGAAGTATTAAATTATATCGTAACCTACTAGCGTTTGAATTGGAGATACGGGCAACAATAATCCAAATCGAAATGGTAACAATAATTTTTTACACACACACTCGATGAAGTGCGTGGATATTAACATTTTCGTGTAGCATAGTGGCCTAACGCATTGTATCGCATTTTTTCGTATCTAATTTTTGCTGATATAATTATGCTCTATTTTTAAAATACAAATAATATTTAATAAACTATTAATAAGTAATATTTTGATGTGCAAAAACTGTCGAAGTAAAAGGGATCTACTTTGTGAAACTGAATTCCTAATCTTTGAAATCGGGGAATGGATGTAACACTTCCGACTTCCTTTCCATGCCTTTCTATTTCCAGCATATAAATAGCGATTTGTAATTCACATAAAGGATTCGATCTTTCTAATTCTTCCATGGAATTAATTATAGTCGAATATGATGTAAAAAAATTTGTTTTAACAGATCTTCACATGAGAAATATTAGCATTTTTTATTTTTCTTCTATTTTAGCAAGAGAATTATATTACATTCTTTTTTATAAAATAATATTACACATTTTAAGGACACAATTTCTTTCTTAAAATTTAGAAATTCTATTTTATAAATGGAATATATATATATATATATAAAATTTCACATTTATTATTCATGTATAGTTAATTTTTTACTTAACAATAAATCTAAATTGTTAGGCTAAATCTTTTATGTTAAAATATTTATTGTATTAACGCAATTTTTATATTTACGAGATTGTGAAAAATAGATTATTAACATTTCTTTCGAAATGATATAAATGATTAAATGAAGAATGTATCTTATGAATGATAAATTATGATACATATGGATGAGTTTATTTTATTGTGTCACGATTTATTAGTCATTTGAGCATATTAATTTACGATTTTTAATGTCAAACAGACATTAAGATTGCGAATAAATAATATTAAAGACAGTTTATCACACTAGTGTTAAAACAAAATATTATGAATTATGTATTGAAAAGTGAATTTTGAAGTGTAACTACATTGAAACCTGAGAACAGAGTGGATTGTGTAGTACTTATTAATTAAATAAATTAATACCGTGTTCCAATCAATTGAATAAACTGTCCGCAACTTTGCAGGAGGTTATCATTTTATTTTCGCAATTATTTTGTTTAGTACATAATGATATACATACCGTAACTTATAAATTTACTTTATAATTAATAGTAAAAGATTTATTTCAATTAATAGCAATGAATTAAACAAATTAAAACAATATAGCATCTTTTTATTTATATTGATTATTTTTTAGAATAAGGCAATATAAACCTGTATAATAAAATAAGTAAAATTGATTAAAGAGCCGTACGCCGGGAGGATCTCCATGCTAATAATTCATCTATTAATAAAATAAATAGAAACGTTTTGACACATTGATTTTGGCCATCTTTAGTATTACACTTGAAAAACGCACGCAGTTATTTATGTTACAAATTTACAGATTTCAAACATGTATAAATAGTTACAATCGCAATAATAAAAAAATGAAGATTTATCAAAAGCATAATAAGTTCATCGTTAAATTTCATAATGAAAGAAAGTGTTGTTGTTGCAATCATGTAGTCAATGTGTAAAAGAAACGTAGCTGTGACCGTTAGAAAATATTTGTAATAAGTTGTATGTCATATTTTTGACAAATTAATAAAACTGATGGAAACTGTTGCTTACGTTTTCGGAGGGTAAAAAACTATTATATCTGTAATGTAAATAATTGCGTGCGCTTTCGGAGTGTAACACTGAAGATGGCCAATGTACTGAAACGTTTGTATTCATTATATTAGCACAGAGATCCGGCGTATGGCTCTTTAGTCCATTTTATTTTATTAATTTGAAAATAGAAGAATTTTTTACTAATTTTATTATATTTTTTAATTTTTTATAGAATTGTGTATTCATAAAATTTTTTAAATAAAAATATATATAAATTATAACTTAAAAAAAATTAAAAACTAGCTATGTATCCTCTATCTTACGAAATAATAATATAAATTTTACAAATTATATATAATTGCATCATATTTATTTATTTGCATCATGTAAATATTTTGTTTTATAAATCTGCGACAATAATACGCGTAGATAGAGAACTATGCAAAAATATGAAAATAAAAGTGTATTGACAAAAATTTAGAGAGAAATACGTGAATCTTTTACGATCTAAACCGTTAACAAGTTTATCTTTTTCCTGTTTATAGGAATGTAAAACGCGTAGCGGCGAAGGTGATAAGCGTCTAGTATTAATCGCTATTTTATGCAAACATGTCGTCTTGCTAGCATATAAACTACAATTTTAATAAAATTTAGTGCAATCGACGCCGCAAAAAAAGATACTTTGGTTTTAAAATATTGGGGTCATGAGTCATGAGACTGGCCCATCGTCACGAGTCCGATTTAAAAAATATTGAGAATAGCATTTTTTTCAATATGTGGGCCGACAAATATCCTTGATCTTTTCTGTCAGACGGAAATATTTAATCTATTCTAGGTTGAACAAAACCCAGAATTAGTTATAATATTACGCCGTTGTGAGGTTTATTTTGTGATGAGCTTGATGCTTATATTTTTCCTTAATATAAATAAATTTATATAAAATCTAAATCTTTAAATGTAAAGTATAAGATAATATATTTTTTAACATTGCAACTTCACTAAAAATTATGTTATTATAGAGTTTATGTTTTGGATTACTAATTAATAAGCATAAATGTTTGTAAACGGAAGTCAAAGCGAAACGTATATGTTTGGTAATGCCGATTTCAAACTGAGACAAATTCGTACGTTATGATTAATTAAATTTGTCGATGTGAACTGAATATTTAATTAGCTTTTATGTAAATGCAAATTCAAATAACGATATAACAGAATTCGCAATTTACAATTCCATAGTAAATGTAACAAAATAGACAATGCAACACAGACAACTGCGTTAGGAGTTCAGGAGTTAATAATTCGTCGCGTCCAATAAAATTGCATTCTTTAATAACAATAAAAAAGTTCTATAAATTATTCCTGAAATAACTACAAAACGAAAAACATTTTAGTAAAATTCCCTAGTTTTAGTACGTTTTATTTTGCCAAAGATAATTAAGAAGCCACGATAATTAGAAAACAGTCTATAATAGCATTCCACAAATATTTATTCATTACTGAACAGACGATTAAGTAATGCAAAGTGAACTAGTCACCAGACATCATAAATTAATTTTATTTGATCGAGATTAGTTGTATATTCTATTTTAACTACTTCTGCCAATTATATGTATGTTTTTATGTCGCTATAATCCAAATGAGTCAGTCACAGAACCGGTATAATAACAGAATTATATTTGTAACACACTAATTAGATTTCTCTCTGTTGAATATTATTTATGTATTATGGTAATTTTACTTTTTGTTTTTCGTCTTGATACAATAATTATCAGTACTCGAACAAAATGGTATAATTACATACAATTATTATTATAATTATAAATAATTATATATATTGTGATTAATAAAAGTAAATAGAGAGCACAAGTGAATAATTTTAATTTTTGTATATTTAGAGATATATGTATAAAGATTTCTAATAACCTTGTAATATTTTAAATATATGATTTTTGATATTTTATCAGTTGCAATACATTCTTAATAATCATTTACGAGAAGTTTTACTGCAATTCAATTTAATTTTTGAATCAATTTATTGATATAACTGTAAATATGATAATTGTAAATATATGTTTAAAGATATTTTTAATATTTATTTATTTTATTAGGCGATTTTCTAAATAAGAGATCAAGTCTAAGACTTTGCATTACTTTTTCTTTATTTTGCACCTTGACTGCATGCTAGGTAACAATTAATCTGCGCGTCGAAGTTCACTGAGTTCGTATTTTAGAGACAAGTACGTAATACGTGCAGTAATAATTATGCTAGCGTTATAAAACACTTTCCTCCGTGTTTGGCAGATTGCCAAGGTCCCTTGCCTCACCCAAGTTCCATCCATCCAAGGTGCACGAATACATCGCGGAATACGGGATGTCTTGGCGAACCTCTACGATGTCTATACGACGACGACAACAGCAACACACACCCACAGATTATTTATGAGAAAAAAAGGCGTGTACGATATGCGCCGTATAACAACCCCCATGCAACGGCTCGCAGGACACGCAATATGCAACACGCACACACGCAACTGCATACGTCCTCGTGCATTGATCAATCGGGTTAGTGACGCGTATAGATAGAACGCATATGAATCGTCGGGTATATAAGCAATCCGCCGAAAAGCAGAGGCATCATTCAGTTACTGTTCATCAACAGCTGATCTTTCCTACGATTCAAAGAAATCCAATCAACTATGAAGTGCTTTGTTGTAAGTATTCCGATAGATCTCTGGTATTTACGCATTTGCTGATATTGCTATTGAATGAAGCAAACGTTAAGATATCGATAAAATTTTTGCGAATTTATCGTCTTGTACATGTGTGCGTGATTTATCGAGTCTATGCATTCGTGCGTTATATGAAATGTTCAGATTTTCACTGATAATTCACTAACTGATCGTCGTGATTAGCCTAATCACCACATTACCGCAATTATCTGTAAATCTATCGATTTGATGCACATTCCAATTTTAGATTAAATCTTGGTATTTATGTTTCTATGATATTGTAATATTCCCACATTATTAATAATAATTAATTATCATTGGTTTATTTTTCTTTACAACTTTGCGATTCGAAAAGGGTCTCTGCAACATCTATTTTGATATTTGCAGCTTATATAAATGTTTATATGTGATGTGTATAAATTGTTCATATTTAAAGTTTTTTAAAATATTTTCAGATTTTTATGATTGCGAATTGTATTTCCCCTTAATTTTACATTTTAATTTATTTAGCATAAATATATATATTTACATATTATTTAAATATATTTACACATTTACTTTACTCATGAAAGCATTTATTGCAAATATCAATTAATCATAAAATCTTATCTCTGTTTCATGCGTTCTACAACATTATACGTTTTTATGTCATATTATATTAATTGCAAAATAGCTTTAAATCATATGGGGAGCATACATTTATATAAAATGTTATATATACATATATATATATTTTTTTAAACACATAAACACATATTATAATAAATAAATTTTATTTAAAAATATTCATTATTTTGGGATTTATAAGGATATGTATAGATATATAAGAATATATAGAAAATTAATAACATTTGATTTTATATGTCACACTCTATATCACACGAATTCGATAAAATCAGCTGTGGATTGATTAAAGTTTACTTTTCAGGCTGTTCTTCTTTTGGCTCTGTTTGCCATCGTCATGGCGGTGGAACAGACGCCCGAAGACACAAAGGTAGCCGTTGAGAAGGAGACGCAGGCCGCCGATGTCATTAGAGACAAGAGAGGCTTCGTGGTAGGCAGCTACGCACCAGTCTCATATGCAGCACAATATGCATACAGCAGTTACAACTTGCCGTACGCGTACTCCGCATACACCTATCCTTATTACCGTTACCCTTACTACAATGCTCCCTACTACGTAGTTTAAAACGCGATGACACGCGATCAACACACAGGATGGATCATGGAAAATTTTGCTCAAATTGTCTATAAATTCGCTCAATCTCTAATCGTCCCTGAAATTCTTGGTAATCATGAACGTGAGAGTGCGAGGTTGAGTTCTTTGACTACCGATAATTTTAATCATTGTATTCATTGTAATAATAAAATAACGCTAAGTATGTAAAAAAAGTGATTCTTCTTTGGCGATCTGTACGAATTCTGTTCCTCCTATGCAATTTTCCTTTTTTTTTCCTTTCTGTGCAAGTTTGCTTTCTGCGAACTTTAAAAACGAAATTATACTTGGGCAATTATACTAAAGCATTATCAAATTGCTTCTAACGGAATACTAACAAAATAATTTTAATATAATATTATTGTTTCTCAAATAATAATTATCGGTTACCAATAGCATTTATTTTATTTCAATAAAATTATAAAAATGATAAATGATAGACTATATTGCTTTACAATTCATAAGAAAATGTAATAATTTATAATTTTTGTATATTTATATAATTGAATAAATACAGATTTATAATGTATTAGTTCTTTAAAACATAGTAATTTTTTAAATTTTGACTTTTAAAATGATATTTTCAAGATGATATCTAATAATCATTAGCTATTAAATTGCAAATTATTATAACTTGCAAAAGTAAGATGATAATTTATGACAATTTATTATAATGTTGATCTTAGCAAAATATTACGCAGTTTATTTAGAATACACTGCCCTTAAGCTATCAAAAGAGTTTATTGAAGGGATAATTTGCTTATTTTACATGCATAAGATACATTACGAGATAAACTGTCTGCAATGTAAATGCGGTGAATAATTGACAGGAAAGCATTACAAATTTTAATGACTATAAAAGCGCATTAATTTGATTGGAATTTATGTAACCGCAGATCGCGCATATATCCGGTGTACAAATATCATTTTCACAGTCAGAATCGGCGAGTTCATCGCGCATACATTTGCTCTTTCATGTTTAATATGGATGCATAATGTATTCTCTCGGATTGCAGTGAGGATTTTCAGATATTCATGCAGGAAGACATTGAGCGAAAACGATTGACACTATTAAGTTGCTACTTGCGACAAAATGAGTTGACGCTCGTAAACGCGTGTGCACATAAATGGGGTTGCATTAGTGTCGTCGTGCTTCACTACCAGCCGTGGACATTGACATTAGTTTCACTAATGCGACATACCTGTGAATTCCATTACAGTGTCTGGTACAAAGGTAGTAGGAAATCACAAACGCAAGTAATGCAGTCTCTTTGAGTAAATCTGTGTAATATATAGAAAACGAAGCAGTCTCTTTTAATAGATATTAATTAATGCATGCTTTATATTATTTACTGTAATTATAGTATATATCCGGAAACATTTGCATAATTTGGATTTATGATAACAAGAATTATTATTGTTTTAATTTTACAGAGAGAATAAGTCGTAAAATATAAAATACAAATTTTGTATTACATTCTTAGAAGAACTAATACGATTACATGAAAAGGATTATAAATTTGAATATAAATTTCAAAGCAAAACATGATGAAATTTTTTAGTTTTATTAAATTATGTTGATTGCTTTTGTAAATTAGCGTTAAATAAATAAATTATAATTATTTTTTAAAATAACGTTTTATTTAAACAAAATACTATTTAAATATATAGTGTTAATTATAGTAAAAATTATAATAAAAATTATAGTAAACATAGTAATAACTTATTTTTTTAATAATTTGCAAAATAGTCCATCATTATCTGTTTTATACAAAGTTTTGATCAATGTTGAAAAACCGTCCAAAACGTGTGAAATATTAATCTTTTATAGCGCTATTACCACATTATTTCATGTATTTGCTCGTTTTGATGTATAATTAAGTCACGCTCCACTTCCACATGTGTCTATTTACGAATTCCATCATCGAAGAAGGACACGTGAGCGATGAGTGAATGATACGCCCGACGTTATTCAATTTTCGATTTCGAGTTTTACGCCATTATACTACAATTCGCATAACACTGCAAGCATCCCCAATACATATGTTAAAAAGGCGTCGACGTTTCGGGCGTTCGGATGTTCGTATGCGAATTCTGATTTACGCGTAATCGCACGTTACACAATACGAATATATCCCTATAAATGAGCGCTTATTCCGTATTCTCCGAGACCGGAGACTACGCTCACCTTTGCGACTTTCACTGGGAGACCCGGAGAGGAGCCGGACAAGCGTGACGAGAATCCCGTATAGACGAGTCCGCTGTGTTTTCACGCGATAATGCGGCACTTATCACGACCTCGTCGGAAGTTCACGATGACACTCGTTTCCTTTATCGCCTCGCATTTCTCTATTGATGACGTAATTAGGGTTTAGACACAATTAAAAGATAGAGGTATGATTAATGCAAGTTTCGACTTTTTTATTCATTCTTATATGTATTATATTTTACCGCAGTAGCAAAGAAAAGATTTTGCAAACGTCTCTTCATCTCATGACGAAACGCGACCCTTGCAGCGCTAAGTCGCGTTTGTAGCATTTATTAAAAGCAAGTATTACAATTTGAATAATTAAATAATTCTATAATTCTATAATTCTATACAATTTTATAATTTTATAATTCTATAATTCTATAGTTCTATAATTCTATAAATCTAGAATTCTATAATATAATATTTTAATCTTTTCAGTTATTACAATATAATTTTAATATTATATAACATCTTTACTTAAAATTAGTAACATACAAAATTGATTCTATTTCGCGATTTTATTCGCATTTTGTGGTTGTTACTCGACACATGCTATCAAGAATAACGGATTTTAGTAAGCGGCCGCAAAATTTCGATTATGGGATTGCTCCGATTATACGATGTACTTTGTATCGATATGTATAACATCACAAATTCGTAACAGTATTGCTTAAGTTCGGTCGATGAAAGCCAGTAAGAAAGTTTATTGTAATTCGTGAATGGTCGCGACCCGATTGTATTTATACATGTGCAGGTATGGCCGTAGTCTTAGTCAGTACGGACCTGTCCATCCTCGAACAAATTAGTTTCGTGCTGTCTAATTCAATGTCAAGATCCCATGCAAAGTAACGCAGTCTTTAAAAAGATAGTTGGAGTGCAGTGTTATGTGCGATAAGAATTATTTGAGTTTGAAAATGCGACACGTTCTGGTAAGTATGCAACATTAAAGCTTATTCATCAAATCAGAATATTATGTCCATCCACAGATTTATCTGTACTATTACACGAAATTATATTATACATTAAAACTTAGAGATTTTTGATATTTATACATAAAACTTTATTACATTTATAATTATATGTATGAATCTTCTATAAATTTTTGTGAGTTATATAATATTTTATAAATTTTGTCAGTTATATATACAATATTTTAAATAAAGAAATCAACTTGCAATAAATAATATATAAAAATATATAAATTATTATTCTACATTAATTATTTATATTTAATAAGAATAACGACTAATATAAATATTTTCAGTTTCTATTTTAAATACAATATTTTTTCTCCATATATGACACATATGTTAAGAAATTGCGTAGGGCCAGGTAAGCCCTAGATTCAAGCGTTTTTATAATGCTAGAATAACGTTAACCGCACGCAACCGCGATGTTTATTCTATATAGTCGCAATGGAATGGAAAGTTGAGAAAATGGATTACCGCCACTTCCGGCCCAGAACACTGATCTATACAAAGAGACTCTCACTCGTAGTCGTGACCATCGTTCGTGGTCGCGCACGGACCATCGCCACGTCACTCGATTCTGACCTCAAAAGTCGTTCGATAATTCTAGCCACGATTAACGTAGCCGGATTATCTGAGCAATCTTATCATGCATAATATATCGCTGTTTGCAAGTATACAATTCTTCCAGATGATTTCGTAATCATTGGGCTCATTCTTACTAGACAAGAAAGGGAAGATACATCGAGAATGAGCCGCTAATGTATTAACCCAATTTATAAATCGAAATCTAGAGATCTAAACGAGATCCATAAATAAACAAAATTTATTTAAAAACTGTTAATATTACTCACTTCTTGCAAGCAAAGATTGCTTCTTTTCCTTGTTAAATTCAATAATTAAATTGCTTTCGATTGCTAAGATTTTTAAAATCAAAGTAATAAGATAAGTGTACATGTTACTTTCCATTATTAATTTATTTACGATGAGTTGAATATTTTTATCAGAAACAAGTAATTAAATTTATAGATTCCAAGAAAGATTTAAAAAATAATCAAATTGATTTGCAAATCAAGATTTATATAATATCTCATTACAAGTGATAGTGTTTATTTATTTTTGCCTTAATGACAGAAATGCATTAATATATTCATTAAGCAGTATTAAGTGCAACGGCAACCAAAAACATAAAATCTAAAATGATATGTTTTCTTTTATCGATTGCTTTTATTTGTAGAATATGTATGTTGCATTTTTTTTAGTTGTGTTAATGTTTGTTAGTAGAAAGCAAGATCTTCCAAGAAAGAAGATGAAATCGTTACGATTCTGATAGAAAGACTTATATAAAGCCTTCGCAAAGTAATTCAAGGGTTTTAAAAGCACAACTTGTGTGACCCTGTCGAGCTGCCTTGTCGCAATTGCTTCTCAAACCTGTCATCAACTCACTTTCCGCAAGTGACCCATATTTTACTGTCCGGTTTTCGTTTTATTCTGGTGCACTTTTATCGTTTTACTCCAAACTCGCTCGGTCAGGATTTCTCAAATGTGCTCTCTGAATCTTATCTAAGAAATCCTATATCCTACTTCTCACCGAGTAAATTGCTCTCATTTGCAAATTTAACATTTTTTACGTTTTTTCGTAGTTATAAATATTTTTTAATAATATAAATGGTTAAATCTTAGTTGTCGTTTAAAATAATTCGAGAGATAAAGAAATAAGATGTAATGAGAAAATTTATATATGTAAAGAGGAAACTGCATATACGTAGAAAGTTAAAGATCGAAAAAGCGAGAGAATTAACAAATTTGAAAAAGGACTGGAAAACAAAAAGCCAAAGATGTTGCAAGTTATATAATAGTAATCAAATGAGAAAGGAAGAGCGATTTTAAGTCAATATCTTTTATTCAAAACCATGTACGTGAAGCACGGTAATCAATTGTCGACATTGGCATAATTCCAAGTAGTGTTGCGATTCTAACTGGTTCTCTTGATGAATGACAGAATCAGTTCTTACTGACACGTTTATCTTCTTTAATAATATATTAACATGATATGTTTGAACATTTCCTTCTTAGCGTCAAGATGCGAAGGATGATATCTGAGGATTTATTAGTACACTTCGTTTCAATGCGTGTTTTGCTCAATAATACTTTTACTTTGATCAAGATATTAACAAAGTGACAGATACATTATTCGCAACACACAAAAGCTGTGATAACATCTTACATTTAAAGATATCCTGTGTTATGCACTGCATAACTATACATACTTAAACAATATAACTAATAAAGCTATCTACATCGATAAGATTTATCAGCGATGGTTATAAAATTAATATTGATAGCGTATTTACAAATGAATATGTTAATAAGTTTACATAAGCGCGTAGAATATTATTTGTAATACTGTAACACTTTACAAATATTCTTAAGCTTTTGATATTATTTAGTTAGTTGCAAATACAATGAGTTGCTATAAACTTATATATATATATATATATATATTCTTTTTTTATTTATTTATTTATATCAAAATTATGTAAAAAGTGGCATAAAAATAAAAATTGTATAAATTTCAAATATTTTATTGTGTCAAAAACTGGTAATTATAAAATAATATTTCTTTATCTTTTTTTATCTTTTATTTTTCTTTCACTTCTATTTCTCTGTCTTGGAAATAAATCGCGACTGTCATCTTTCTTAAGACTAATTCGTCGCCTTTTAAATTGGACAATACTGCAAACACAACATGCTCTTTCTTTATCTCACGAGTGAAAGTGAAATGATGTCAATCAAACGTTTTCAATTACTACAGTTTGGTATGTTGGGAGGAGACAAATAGGCGCTATAAATTCTCGGAGAACGCGATTATCTTTTTATGGCTACATTTTATTCCTATGGTTACTCTCTTTATTCTCGAAGAACAATTACTTTCCTATGACTTTATTTCTACCAGATATGTTTATTATGTGAAGAAATCAAAACGAGAAACACTATGTAGCAGCTTTTTCGTTTATTTCTAAGTGCATTTCACTTTTTAATGTCCATCGGCTTTCAACAAGTGGCGAAATTTTTTTTTTTTATTCACGAACTGAAAACATTTGTATCAAGCATTCTTTTCTTACATATCTGATCTTAATTCAGATGAACTAAGAGACTATAATTTACGTAAAAGACGGATAAACACATAAGCATAATACATATTTAATGTTACAATATTTGTATTCTATACTTCTACATTTTATATTAAAAATATAAATTCTAGATTAGTTGAAACTGAAAATAGTATTTCTAGATGTAATGAAAAGTGTAGTTTCCTTAGATATTTTTTTAAAAACAATGTAGGACATTGAAATTTTATAAAATATTTTACTTTGTTTCATTTGAAAAGGCATGTTTAAAACTCGATTAATTTTTGCGCTTAAGAATGAAACCATCTGGTTTAATCTGATTTTTGTATGTGCAATAAGAAAACATGCAAGTGTGAATTAGTCTCTTAAAATTGAGGTTTAACAAAAAGACGTTTGTTATAAAATACGTATAATAAGCGTGTTCTTTTCACGCGACAAATATTTGGTTAACAATTCTTTTTATCAGTGTTGAGACGAGCTGTGAGTGAAAAATATCACACAAATTTCAGTATATTTCAATGCATGGAAAGCATTTCTTTAAGACACAGTGAATAATCTCGGAAGTATATCCGGACATACTCTTTCGGTGTACTGAAATAATAAATTTTTGAAAAGTTATGATTATATAAGTAAATTCATTTTACTTTCTTTTCGCATGTATAATTGGTACCAAGATAGTTTCCGTATGCAGCCATGCGTCTCAGTGATGTTTAAATCGGAATTGCGATCTAATTCGTGATACCTAATGAACAAGACTTTTTTCGTTAGAGCTTTTAAATCAAGAGTAAAAAATATAAAATGCATTAAGAATCTTGTCGCGAGTGGAAAATATAATTACGTTTTTTCTGATGCGTGACGAGCTAGTGTTCCTTTGTATAAGTGATTACTTGTATAAGTGAATTAATTACACTGAGCAACAAAATAAAATAATGTGGTTTGATATGGCATACCAACGTGATAACGATTATTGCGTTGAAATTAAATTACTGGTTCTGCGAGAATGTAGTAATTAAAAAATATTTAATATATCATATTACAAGTTAATCTACTGAAATTTTCTTGATTTATGAATATTTCACGATATCGCTCAATATGATCACTAGGAGGATATCTTTCCGGATGTGTGAAAAAGCAAAGAAACCTTAATTGAGAATATCCTGAACATGTGCGGAAGGTAATTGACCTTCCTTACACACTTTCTCGAAACGCTTTGCGAACAAAGGCAATAAGGCGAGGACAAAATTTCGCTCTATTACGAGAGGGAAGCGATAAATCTTTTTCCGATTGACTTTATGTTCGCGCGACTGGCATTGTTTGTCTTTTTTTCCTCTTTCAAACGGATTGTTGACTTCCTCGAGAGGATGTTGTTGTTTCTTATGTTTAACGAGAGAAAAAACTGCGATAGAAATCAATGTATCGGTCCGCTATTATCGCAAATAGAATTCGATTTGTAAAACACTCGTTATACCAGCTGACCGCTATCAGTGCCCCGACGACGCGAGGCGACGAGACGCTGCACCCGGTATATTAGCGCGGGGAGACTTACCTTCACCTAGACCTTTCTTTCACCGTGTGAGAGGGGATTCATGTATAAAGGCTTTCTTCTTGGTAGCAATGGCATCAGAAACCGCGATATCACACTCAACCACTCGACTGTCACCCGATTGCGAGAAATACTAACGAGAGTAATCCCATTCCGGCAAGCATGCGGTCAATTGTAAGTGCCACAAAAAATTTTTCTTCGTAATTCTTTTAATTTTTAATTGTATCTATATCGATTATTTGTGCCTTTATGTGTCTTGTGCATATTATGCATGCAAATATTCTTATACAGGATGTGTTAAAGATATTTCGATAATGGTCGAGATTGTTGCAACTCTTCTTTTTTTTGCAGAGATTTAGATCGTTGTTTAATTACGAAGTTATTTCAAATATAACAGCTATAAAATTTTTAAAAGATTAATAACTAATATAATAATATTTATATGCAATATTATAATTAATATATAATACTTATAACAATAATCTCTGTATATGCAATATTATAATTAATATATAATACTTATAATAATAATCTCTGTATTAAATTTCTATTAAAGAAAAATCTATTTTAAGATATAATTCTCCATTTTACAATGTAAATATTATGATTATCATTTATATATTATTTTATTATTATCAAATATTACAGATATTAGCAAAGTAATAATTACGTTAATTTAATACATTTAAATTTCTATTTTATAGAGCAGAACAGTTTAAATCAAAATTAAATATTACAGAGTGCAATTAAAATAATATACTAAATGTTAATGTACAATTAAATATGCAATTAAAATGATGTACTAAAAGTTGAAATTAAAAAATATTAACCAATTAATATTCTTATATACTTGGCTGGCAAAATTATGCATCTATCTCTTGCTTAATTAATATAATCGCTCATAGCTTAAGCAATCTAATTATAAATCAGATTACCGACTAATAATATTGTATTCCACTTTCACATAAACCGATTAAGCCGACGAAAGTGGGCCATCCCTAGAAAGTGAAGAAGTAACGATAATATTAATTTTATTTGCGTAGGTGTTTCTGGGGCTGGCGGTTCTTGTCTGTGGCAGTGAAAATTCGCGATATCAGTTTCGAGTGCCGCCAAATAAACGCGGCCTTTCACTGACTTTTCCATCGCATGGATCTTCTTCCTACTCGGCACACCACCTCGGTGAGTTCCGGTTATAATCTAGGAGGATCATCCGGTGGTTTCTCCCTTGGACATGCTGGACTGAGCTTAGGCGGTTCCATCGGTCATGGAATCGCATATTCTCAACCTTCAACCGGCGGCTTCGGATCTGGATATGTTTCTTCTGGACTAGACCATAACTCGTTGAGTCTTCAGAGTGCCTCCCTGAACGGACATTCAGCTCAGAGCACGTACTCCGTGCCCAGCATAACCAGCATCGGTTTAGGAAGTGGTGGAGGAAGCAATCTCATCTCGTCGAAAACTGGCCCCGTCACTTTTGGATCCCAGAGCGGCAGTGACGCCGCGAGCAGTTCGTATTCCGGCTCCGGTTCGTATTCCTCTGCGCCAGTTTACGCTACCGCAGCTCAAGGGCTCTCGGCTTACAACAACGGGGGATCCACCGTTCCCGTTGTACTGGGATCGTCACATGGCTCCTCATCAAGCTACAGTCTTCCTCAATCTATTTCCTCGAATTCTTTACACTCCGTGACTGGCGGCTTAATTATCGCCAGCGGCTCGCACGATGGTTCCTCCAGCTACAGCCTCCCAGCATCTAAACCCTCTTATGGCATCTCTGCTCTTAGTAGTTCTTCCGGCTCTCATGGAGCATCCCCTACGTATTC